CAGAAACGTTACTTAGGGCCACACAGAAATTGTTACTTAGGGCCACGAAACTTTACTTAGGGCCACAGAATCGTTACTTAGGGCCACAGAATTGTTACTTAGGGCCACAGAATTGTTACTGAGGGACACAGAATTGTTACTGGGACAGACACAGAATTGTTACTCAGGGACAGACACAGAATTGTTACTCAGGGACAGACACAGAATTGTTACTGAGGGACAGACACAGAATTGTTACTCAGGGACAGGGACACAGAATTGTTACTGAGGGGACACAGAATTGTTACTGAGGGACACAGAATTGTTACTGAGGGACACAGAATTGTTACTGAGGGACACAGAATTGTTACTGAGGGACACAGAATTGTTACTCAGGGGGACACAGAATTGTTACTGAGGGACAGACACAGAATTGTTACTGAGGGACACAGAATTGTTACTGAGGGACACAGAATTGTTACTCAGGGACACAGAATTGTTACTCAGGGACAGACACAGAATTGTTACTGAGGGACACAGAATTGTTACTGAGGGACACAGAATTGTTACTGAGGGAGGGACACAGAATTGTTACTCAGGGACACAGAATTGTTACTCAGGGACACAGAATTGTTACTGAGGGACAGACACAGAATTGTTACTGAGGGACAGACACAGAATTGTTACTGAGGGGACACAGAATTGTTACTGAGGGACACAGAATTGTTACTGAGGGACACAGAATTGTTACTCAGGGACACAGAATTGTTACTGAGGGACACAGAATTGTTACTGAGGGAGGGACACAGAATTGTTACTCAGGGACACAGAATTGTTACTCAGGGACAGACACAGAATTGTTACTGAGGGGACAGACACAGAATTGTTACTCAGAGGGACAGACAGAATTGTTACTCAGGGACACAGAATTGTTACTGAGGGACACAGAATTGTTACTGAGGGACACAATTGTTACTCAGGGACATTGTTACTCAGGGACACAGAATTGTTACTCAGGGACACAGAATTGTTACTCACAGGGACAGACACAGAATTGTTACTCAGGGACACAGAATTTTACTGAGGGGGACACAGAATTGTTACTGAGGGACACAGAATTGTTACTCAGGACAGACAGAATTGTTACTGAGGGACACAGAATTGTTACTCAGGGGGACACAGAATTGTTACTCAGGGACAGACACAGAATTGTTACTCAGGGACAGACACAGAATTGTTACTCAGGGACAGACACAGAATTGTTACTGAGGGACACAGAATTGTTACTGAGGGACACAGAATTGTTACTCAGGGACACAGAATTGTTACTCAGGGACAGACAGGGAGAATTGTTACTCAGGGACACAGAATTGTTACTCAGGGACACATAATCGTTGAATTAAAGAGTATGTCAGACAACATGCAGAGGAGTGGCAGAGGAGGCAATGTTTTAGGAGCGAGCAGACGTGGCGTGGCAGCAGAGGAAGGGGTCGAGGCAGCACTAGTCGCAGCCAGAGGCCATTGCTCCCGGTGTCATCCAGCGGTCGTGTGTCTCCACCGACAACCCTGCCGTCATCGATTGGTTGGCTCGGGTCGTCTTCCTCTTCCCAGGTCACCTCTGACACCTACAGCCAACGGTCGGTGGGTACGTCAGACACAACCGTTAGTTGGCATGGCCCGGGAGCAAGCCCACTGAAATCACGTGTCCTCTACCTGCCCCTGTCCTTTGGTGTTCCCTCACCAAGCGAAGTATCGCATGCTGTGGGCTCAGCCCCACTGTACAGTGAGGAAGAGCTAACAGAGGGCGGTCAGGAACGGGGGGAGACATCCGCCTCTTCAGCAGCCAGGCGAAGAAGTAGTGGCGAGGAGAGTGGCTCGGTAGCCGGTCTAGAGACAGGTCTGTCTCCTGACCCACACACGCAGCCGAGGGGGCTAGTAGTGAGGCGGAGACCCTAATTGATTGATGATGATGAGGCTGATCGCACTTGGCAGCCTCGTCGTCATCAGGCTATTGCTTCCGCATCATCAGGAGAAGAGGGGTGGCAGCTTGGCAGCGAGCAAAACAGTCGGTGGGTTGCCCAGGAGGCAGCAGGGTCGCAGCAGTGTCAGTGGAGGCAAACGGCCACGGAGTAGAGCACCAGCTCCACTGCAGCCTACCACCACGGCCAGTAGTGGTGCGGTGTGCACGGAGGAAGTAGCAGTCAGCCAGTGAGGAGTATCGGGGGCAAAGTTTCCTACTCGGCGGTGTGGCAATTTTTCGTCAAGCCGCCCGAGGAAGTAAACGTAGCCGTATGTCGACTATGTGGCCAGAAAGTCAAGCGTGGCCAGGGGGCCCATGTTGGGACTACAGCGTTGCGGCAGCATATGCAGCGTCGCCATTTGGTGGCCTGGGAAAACCGTGATAAAGATACGGCGGTTCTGCCTGCCCCAGCCCCCGCTCCATCACCCGCTCCGTTACTTGCTCCGTCACCCGACGTCAATCGCCCTCTATCAGCCAGTCAGGCTCCAACACCTCTGCTGAGGGGAGTTGTCGCTCGTTGGCATCTTCCGCTCGTTCAGATGCTCCTTCTCCTGCTACTCCTCTTCACGGATTCCGTCAGCAGTCTTTCTTGGAATCCGTTTCCAAGAGACAACAGTTTGCGAGCACGCACCCGACGGTGCAAAAGCTGAACGTCCTCCTGTCCAAGTTGCTGGTGCTGCAGTCCCTCCCTTTCCAAGTGGTGGACTCAGCACCTTTCCGAGAAATGATGGCTTGTGCCGCGCCGCGGGTGGAGAGTGCCAAGCCGTCATTTCTTCGCCAAAAAGGCAGTGCCAGCCCTGCATTCACATGTAGAAGAGATGGTGGGCCAGTCTTTGAGCATGTCGGTCTCTGCCAAAGTGCACGGCAGCGCCGACGTGTGGAGCTGTAACTACGGTCAGGGACAGTACATGTCATTTACGGCCCACTGGGGTGAACGTGGTGCCGGCACAGCCGCACCAGCAACTTGGACAGGTCACGCCGCTTTTGCCTCCACGTTTGCACGTCCTTGGTCCACAAAAGATGTCCGCCTCTACCACCTCTTCTTCCGCCGTGTCCTCAGCCGCCACCCCCGTGCCAAGTCCCATTACCCGACCGGCATATCACATGTGCAGGGCGCAACGGTGTCACGCTGTGCTGCACCTGGTATGCCTTGGCGAACGTAGTCACACAGGGGAGGAACTTCTCAGTGTAATGAACAGAGAAATCGACAGATGGCTGTCTCCGCGCAAACTGAAAATCGGAACCATGTTGACCGACAACGGAAAGAACATGGTGTCTGCTCTGCGTCAAGGAAGGTTGTGCCATGCGCCATGCATGGCTCACGTGTTCAATCTGGTTGTCAAGCGGTTCCTAAAATCCACCATCCCACTGCAAGACATCCTTAAAATGTCACGTAAACTTTGCATGCATTTCAGCCATTCCTCACCGCAAAGCACACCCTCCTTGAGCTGCAGCGGCAGAACGGAATTCCACAGCATCGCCTGATCTGCGACGTTGCAACAAGGTGGAATTCAACCCTACACATGTTAGACCGCCTTTACGAACAGCGAAAGGCCATCACCGATTTCCTGATGTTACAAGCGGATAAAGGTACTCCCCTGTGTAACTTCGATGTCAGCCATTGGCAGCTCATGCGTGACACCTGCCGCTTGCTCAGGCCCTTTGAGGAGGCCACGCTATTCGTGAGTCGGCAGGACTATGGGATGAACGACGTCATTCCTCTGTTGCACGTCCTGGAACAAATGCTGTTAACAATGGCTGGTCAGGGTGCGGTAGACGTGGCGCACAGATCTCAACGCCACATGACCCCTGTGGGGGCAGGACAGGAAGAAGAGGAGGAGGTAGAGGAGGACATTTGTGCTCAGGAATTATTGAGTGAAATGGGTGGTTTTTCCACTCAGCGGACAGGAGTGGAGGAGCAGGAGCATCTGGTAGAGGAGGAGGAGGAGGAGACAGAGGACCCAGACGCACCGTGGCAGTATGCTGTGGAGATGGAGGCAGGGAGTCCCTCGCATTCCTTGGCACAAATGGCCCATAGCATGCTCGGTTGCTTGCGTAGCGACAGCCGAATAATAACCATCAGACAGAGGGATGACTTTTGGCTGTCCACCTTGTTTGGACCCTCGCTACCGTTCAAAAATGGTGGCCTTTTTCACACCTGCTGAGAGGGAGGCCAAAATAACGTACTATAAAAACCACCTATGTAGTCAGTTGGTCTCTGCCTTTGTGCGCCAACGTCCATCCTCAGACACTGTGGGCCCTGTGTGCGCTCGCGTTCCGCTGCCATGGCAGGGGGGGGGGGTGGGGGGGTGGTAGGAGCAGTGGCAGCTCCACCAGCAGCGGCTGCCTCAGTCTGCAGCGATGATGATGAGTAGCTTTCTTCACCAGCGCAGTGAGGAAACTACTAACCAGCCGCAGCAGCAGCAGCAGCATCAGGTGGACCTGGAGCAGGACCTCAAACAACAGGCTTGGGCCTACTTGGACAGCACCCTGCCAACCGAGGTAGACAATCCCCTTGACTACTGGGCAACGAAACTTGACCTTTGGCCCCAACTAGCTGAATTTGCCCTTGAAAGGCTGTCATGCCCGGCCAGTAGCGTGGCATCGGAGCGCGTGTTTAGTGCGGCAGGAGGTATTGTAACTCGCGCGGAGGACACGACTGTCCACCCAAAGTGTGGAGAGACTCACGTTTGTGAAAATGAATCAGGCGTGGATTAGTCTGGATTTCAAACCACCAGTTCCTCCTGACACAACTGACTAAATCCGCCATGAATCATGCCCCAAACATGTGCCACTTTCAGGTCTCCTCACACTGCTGTGTGTGTTCCATTTTTTGTCATAGGGTGCTGGCAGATTACGGGCCTCCCATTGCTGCTGCCAGGCCCGTAATCTGCCATGGGCCCCTGTACCGCTCTCCTCATGCTGCTGCCAGGTCCAGAGTGTCTCATGGGTCCCTGTACGGCCTCCCATTGCTGCTGTCTCCATCGCCACACTCTGCCATGTGCCACTTTCAGGTCTCCTCACACTGCTGGTGTGTTCCATTTTTTGTCATAGGGTGCTGGCAGATTACGGGCCTCCCATTGCTGCTGCCAGGCCCGTAATCTGCCATGGGCCCCTGTACCGCCTCCTCATGCTGCTGCCAGGTCCAGAGTGTCTCATGGGTCCCTGTACGGCCTCCCATTGCTGCTGTCTCCATCGCCACACTCTGCCATGTGCCACTTTCAGGTCTCCTCACACACTGCTGGTGTGTTCCATTTTTTGTCATAGGGTGCTGGCAGATTACGGGCCTCCCATTGCTGCTGCCAGGCCCCTAATCTGCCATGGGCCCCTGTACCGCCTCCTCATTGCTGCCAGGTCCCAGTCTCAGTCTCTCATGGGTCCCTGTACGGCCTCCCATTGCTGCTGTCTCCATCGCCACCACTCTGCCATGTGCCACTTTCAGGTCTCCTCACACTGCTGGTGTGTTCCATTTTTTGTCATAGGGTGCTGGCAGATTACGGGCCTCCCATTGCTGCTGCCAGGCCCGTAATCTGCCATGGGCCCCTGTACCGCCTCCTCATGCTGCTGCCAGGTCCAGAGTCTCTCATGGGTCCCTGTACGGCCTCCCATTGCTGCTGTCTCCATCGCCACTCTGCCATGTGCCACTTTCAGGTCTCCTCACACACTGCTGGTGTGTTCCATTTTTTGTCATAGGGTGCTGGCAGATTACGGGCCTCCCATAGCTGCTGCCAGGCCCCTAATCTGCCATGGGCCCCTGTACCGCCTCCTCATGCTGCTGCCAGGTCCTCTCATGGGTCATGGGTCCCTGTACGGCCTCCCATTGCTGCTGTCTCCATCGCCACACACTCTGCCATGTGCCACTTTCAGGTCTCCTCACACACTGCTGGTGTGTTGTTCCATTTTTTGTCATAGGGTGCTGGCAGATTACGGGCCTCCCATTGCTGCTGCCAGGCCCCTAATCTGCCATGGGCCCCTGTACCGCCTCCTCATGCTGCTGCCAGGTCCAGAGTCTCTCATGGGTCCCTGTACGGCCTCCCATTGCTGCTGTCTCCATCGCCACACTCTGCCATGTGCCACTTTCAGGTCTCCTCACACACTGCTGTGTGTGTGTTCCATTTTTTGTCATAGGGTGCTGGCAGATTACGGGCCTCCCATAGCTGCTGCCAGGCCCCTAATCTGCCATGGGCCCCTGTGTACCGCCTCCTCATGCTGCTGCCAGGTCCAGAGTCTCTCATGGGTCCCTGTACGGCCTCCCATTGCTGCTGTCTCCATCGCCACACTCTGCCATGTGCCACTTTCAGGTCTCCTCACACTGCTGGTGTGTTCCATTTTTTGTCATAGGGTGCTGGCAGATTACGGGCCTCCCATTGCTGCTGCCAGGCCCCTAATCTGCCATGGGCCCTTGTACCGCCTCCTCATGCTGCTGCCAGGTCCAGAGTGTCTCTCATGGGTCCCTGTACGGCCTCCCATTGCTGCTGTCTCCATCGCCACACTCTGCCATGTGCCACTTTCAGGTCTCCTCACACTGCTGGTGTGTTCCATTTTTTTGTCATAGGGTGCTGGCAGATTACGGGCCTCCCATTGCTGCTGCCAGGCCCCTAATCTGCCATGGGCCCCTGTACCGCCTCCTCATGCTGCCAGGTCCAGAGTCTCATCATGGGTCCCTGTACGGCCTCCCATTGCTGCTGTCTCCATCGCCACACTCTGCCATGTGCCACTTTCAGGTCTCCTCACACACTGCTGGTGTGTTCCATTTTTTGTCATAGGGTGCTGGCAGATTACGGGCCTCCCATTGCTGCTGCCAGGCCCCTAATCTGCCATGGGCCCCTGTACCGCCTCCTCATGCTGCTGCTGCTGCCAGGTCCACAGTGTCTCATGGGTCCCTGTACGGCCTCCCATGCTGCTGTCTCCATCGCCACACTCTGCCATGCCACTTTCAGGTCTCCTCACACACTGCTGGTGTGTTCCATTTTTTGTCATAGGGTGCTGGCTGGCAGATTACGGGCCTCCCATAGCTGCTGCCAGGCCCCTAATCTGCCATGGGCCCCTGTACCGCCTCCTCATGCTGCTGCCAGGTCCAGCAGTGTCTCATGGGTCCCTGTACGGCCTCCCATTGCTGCTGTCTCCATGCCATGCCATGTGCCACTTTCAGGTCTCCTCACACTGCTGGTGTGTTCCATTTTTTGTCATAGGGTGCTGGCAGATTACGGGCCTCCCATAGCTGCTGCCAGGCCCCTAATCTGCCATGGGCCCCTGTACCGCCTCTCCTCATGCTGCTGCCAGGTCCAGAGTCTCTCATGGGTCCCTGTACGGCCTCCCATTGCTGCTGTCTCCATCGCCACACTCTGCCATGTGCCACTTTCAGGTCTCCTCACACACTGCTGGTGTGTTCCATTTTTTGTCATAGGGTGCTGGCAGATTACGGGCCTCCCATAGCTGCTGCCAGGCCCCTAATCTGCCATGGGCCCCTGTACCGCCTCCTCATGCTGCTGCCAGGTCCAGAGTCTCTCATGGGTCCCTGTACGGCCTCCCATTGCTGCTGCCAGGTCCACACACTCATGCCATGTGCCACTTTCAGGTCTCCTCACACTGCTGCTGGTGTGTGTTCCATTTTTTGTCATAGGGTGCTGGCAGATTACGGGCCTCCCATAGCTGCTGCCAGGCCCCTAATCTGCCATGGGCCCCTGTACCGCCTCTCTGCTGCTGCTGCAGGTCCAGAGTGTCTCATGGGTCCCTGTACGGCCTCCCATTGCTGCTGTCTCCATCGCCACACTCTGCCATGTGCCACTTTCAGGTCTCCTCACACACTGCTGGTGTGTTCCATTTTTTGTCATAGGGTGCTGGCAGATTACGGGCCTCCCATGCTGCTGCCAGGCCCCTAATCTGCCATGGGCCCCTGTACCGCCTCCTCATGCTGCTGCCAGGTCCCCAGTGTCTCATGTCCCATGGCCTCCCATTGCTGCTGTCTCCATCGCCACAGCCATGTGCCACTTTCAGGTCTCACACTGCTGCTGGTGTGTTCCCATTTTTTGTCATAGGGTGCTGGCAGATTACGGGGCCTCCCATGCTGCTGCTGCCAGGCCCCTAATCTGCCATGGGCCCCTGTACCGCCTCCCTTGCTGCTGCTGCTGCTGCCAGGCCAGGTCCAGAGTCTCTCATGGGTCCCTGTACGGCCTCCCATTGCTGCTGTCTCCATCGCCACACTCTGCCATGTGCCACTTTCAGGTCTCCTCACACACTGCTGGTGTGTTCCATTTTTTGTCATAGGGTGCTGGCAGATTACGGGCCTCCCATTGCTGCTGCCAGGCCCCTAATCTGCCATGGGCCCCTGTACCGCCTCCTCATGCTGCTGCCAGGTCCAGAGTCTCTCATGGGTCCCTGTACGGCCTCCCATTGCTGCTGTCTCCATCGCCACACTCTGCCATGTGCCACTTTCAGGTCTCCTCACACACTGCTGGTGTGTTCCATTTTTTGTCATAGGGTGCTGGCAGATTACGGGCCTCCCATAGCTGCTGCCAGGCCCCTAAATCTGCCATGGGCCCCTGTACCGCCTCCTCATGCTGCTGCCAGGTCCACAGTGTGTACGGCCTCATGCCATGTGCCACATGTGCCACTTTCAGGTCTCCTCACACTGCTGGTGTGTTCCATTTTTTGTCATAGGGTGCTGGCAGATTACGGGCCTCCCATTGCTGCTGCCAGGCCCCTAATCTGCCATGGGCCCCTGTACCGCCTCCTCATGCTGCTGCCAGGTCCACAGTGTCTCTCATGGGTCCCTGTACGGCCTCCCATTGCTGCTGTCTCCATCGCCACACTCTGCCATGTGCCACTTTCAGGTCTCCTCACACTGCTGTGTGTTCCATTTTTTGTCATAGGGTGCTGGCAGATTACGGGCCTCCCCATGCTGCTGCCAGGCCCCTAATCTGCCATGGGCCCCTGTACCGCCCCCTCCTGCTGCTGCTGCCAGGTCCCCTCCCATTGTGTCTCATGCCATGCCATGTGCCACTTTCAGGTCTCCTCACACTGCTGGTGTGTTCCATTTTTAGGGTCATAGGGTGCTGGCAGATTACGGGCCTCCCATTGCTGCTGCCAGGCCCCTAATCTGCCATGGGCCCCTGTACCGCCTCCTCATGCTGCTGCCAGGTCCAGAGTCTCTCATGGGTCCCTGTACGGCCTCCCATTGCTGCTGTCTCCATCGCCACACTCTGCCATGTGCCACTTTCAGGTCTCCTCACACACTGCTGGTGTGTTCCATTTTTTGTCATAGGGTGCTGGCAGATTACGGGCCTCCCATAGCTGCTGCCAGGCCCCCCTAATCTGCCATGGGCCCTCATGCTGCTAGGTCCGCCTCCTCATGCTGCTGCCATTGTCCACAGTGCCACACTCATGCCATGTGCCACTTTCAGGTCTCCTCACACTGCTGGTGTGTTCCATTTTTTGTCATAGGGTGCTGGCAGATTACGGGCCTCCCATTGCTGCTGCCAGGCCCCTAATCTGCCATGGGCCCCTGTACCGCCTCCTCATGCTGCTGCCAGGTCCAGAGTCTCTCATGGGTCCCTGTACGGCCTCCCATTGCTGCTGTCTCCATCGCCACACTCTGCCATGTGCCACTTTCAGGTCTCTCCTCACACTGCTGGTGTGTTCCATTTTTTGTCATAGGGTGCTGGCAGATTACGGGCCTCCCATTGCTGCTGCCAGGCCCCTAATCTGCCATGGGCCCCTGTACCGCCTCCTCATGCTGCTGCCAGGTCCAGAGTCTCTCATGGGTCCCTGTACGGCCTCCCATTGCTGCTGTCTCCATCGCCACACTCTGCCATGTGCCACTTTCAGGTCTCCTCACACACTGCTGGTGTGTTCCATTTTTTGTATAGGGTGCTGGCAGATTACGGGCCTCCCATAGCTGCTGCCAGGCCCCTAATCTGCCATGGGCCCCTGTACCGCCTCCTCATGCTGCTGCCAGGTCCACAGTGTCCACAGTGTGCCTCATGCCATGTCTCCATGCCACTTGCCATGGCCTTTCAGGTCTCCTCACACTGCTGGTGTGTTCCATTTTTTGTCATAGGGTGCTGGCAGATTACGGGCCTCCCATTGCTGCTGCCAGGCCCCTAATCTGCCATGGGCCCCTGTACCGCCTCCTCATGCTGCTGCCAGGTCCAGAGTCTCTCATGGGTCCCTGTACGGCCTCCCATTGCTGCTGTCTCCATCGCCACACTCTGCCATGTGCCACTTTCAGGTCTCCTCACACACTGCTGGTGTGTTCCATTTTTTGTCATAGGGTGCTGGCAGATTACGGGCCTCCCATAGCTGCTGCCAGCTGCTGCTGCCAGGCCCCTAATCTGCCATGGGCCCCTGTACCGCCTCCTCATGCTGCTGCCAGGGTCCACAGTGTGTCATGCCATGTGCCACTTTCAGGTCTCCCTCACACTGCTGGTGTGTTCCATTTTTTGTCATAGGGTGCTGGCAGATTACGGGCCTCCCATTGCTGCTGCCAGGCCCCTAATCTGCCATGGGCCCCTGTACCGCCCCTCTGTGCTGCCAGGCCAGAGTCCTCATGCTGCTGCCAGGTCCCAGTGTGTCTCATGCACACTCTGCCATGTGCCACTTTTTCAGGTCTCCTCCTCACACTGCTGGTGTGTTCCATTTTTTGTCATAGGGTGCTGGCAGATTACGGGCCTCCCATAGCTGCTGCCAGGCCCCTAATCTGCCATGGGCCCCTGTACCGCCTCCTCATGCTGCTGCCAGGTCCACAGTGTCACTCATGCCATGTGCCACTTTCAGGTCTCCTCACACTGCTGGTGTGTTCCATTTTGTCATAGGGTGCTGCAGATTGGGCCCCTTTTGCTGCTGCCAGGCCCCTAACTGCCATGGGCCCCTGTACCGCCTCCCATTTTTGCTGCCAGGTCCTGAGTGTCTCTCATGGGTCCCTGTACGGCCAGGCCCCATTGCTGCTGCTGTCTCCATCGCCACACTCTGCCATGTGCCACTTTCAGGTCTCCTCACACTGCTGGTGTGTTCCATTTTTTGTCATAGGGTGCTGGCAGATTACGGGCCTCCCATTGCTGCTGCCAGGCCCCTAATCTGCCATGGGCCCCTGTACCGCCTCATGCTCAGGTGCTTCTCTGGGCCAGGTGCACATGCCACACGAAGAAGTGTGTCATGCCATGTGCCACTTTCAGGTCTCCTCACACTGCTGGTGTGTTCCATTTTTTGTCATAGGGTGCTGGCAGATTACGGGCCTCCCATTGCTGCTGCCAGGCCCCTAATCTGCCATGGGCCCCTGTACCGCCTCCTCCCCATGCTGCTGCCAGGAGGCAGCAGGGTCGCAGCAGTGTCAGTGGAGGCAAACGGCCATTGAGTAGAGCACCAGCTCCACTCTGCATGCCTACCACCACGGCCAGTAGTGGTGGTGTGCCAGAGGAAGTAGCAGTCAGCCAGTGAGGAGTAGGGGGGCAATGTTTCTGCTACTCGGGCCGGTGTGGCAATCTTCGTCAAGCCCCCGAGGAAGTAAACGCCTCCTATGCTCGACTATGTGGCCAGAAAGTCAAGCGTGGCCAGGGGGCCCATGTACGGCCTACAGCGTTGCGTCAGCATATGCAGCGTCGCCATTCGGTGGCCTGGGCCACGTGATAAAGATACGGCGGTTCTGCCTGCCCCACCCAGGGGTTCCATTTTGTCATATAGTGGTGCTGGCAGATTACGGGCCTCCCATTGCTGCTGCCAGGCCCTTAATCTGCCATGGGCCCCTGTACCGCCTCCTCATGCTGCTGCCAGGTCCACAGTGTCTCATGGGTCCCTGTACGCCTCCCATTGCTGCTGTCTCCATCGCCACACTCTGCCATGTGCCACTTTCAGGTCTCCTCACACTGCTGGTGGGTTTTTTTTGTCATAGGGTGCTGTATGGCCTCCCATTGCTGCTGCCAGGCCCGTAATCTGCCATGGGCCCCCGTACCGACTCCTCATGCTGCTGCCAGGCCCGTAATCTGTCATGGGCCCCTGTTGTCGCTTGTTGGCATATTCCGCTCGTTCAGATGCTCCTTCTCCTGCTACTCCTCTTCACGGATTCCGTCAGCAGTCTTTCTTGGAATCCGTTTCCAAGAGACAACAGTTTGCGAGCACGCACCCGACGGTGCAGAAGCTGAACGTCCTCCTGTCCAAGTTGCTGCTGCCAGGCTCGTAATCTGTCATGCGCCCCTGTACCGCCTCCTCATGCTGCTGCCAGGTCCAGAGTGTGTCATGGGCCCCCGTACCGACTCCTCATGCTGCTGCCAGGCCCGTAATCTGTCATGGGCCCCTGTACCGCCTCCTCATGCTGCTGCCAGGTCCAGAGTGTGTCATGGGTCCCTGTACGGCCTCCCATTGCTGCTGTCTCCATCGCCACACTCTGCCATGTGCCACTTTCAGGTCTCCTCACACTGCTGGTGGGTTCCATTTTGTCATAGGGTGCTGTATGGCCCTCCCATTGCTGCTGCCTCCACCGCCACACTGTGGCTCCACACTCTGGTTTTGGCCCCGTGACTGCCCAAATGAGTGAAGTGTGCGGTGATTCTAAGATCGACGGCACTCATCTGCATGTCATACTGACTGATAGTATTATTTCTCTTCCCCAGCAGACTCCAAGGGCATTTAAATTAAAGGTACAGTGTTCTGCACTAATATAAAGGCTCTCTGAAGCCTAGAAAACACCCTTTTATAAGTTAAATTCGCAGCGAATATATTCGACTCGAATCGAAATTTTTTCACGAATTCGCCGAATCAGTCGAATCGAATTTTTGAATAATTCGCTCATCTCTAGTGGCCACCTATCACGGGACCATGTTTGAATTCACTGAGCTCCTGAGAGCGACCCATTCTTTCACAAATGTTTGTAGAAGCAGTCTGCATGCCGAGGGGCTTGATTGTATACACCTGTGGCCATGGAGCTGATTGGAACACCTAAATCCAATGGTTTGGAGGGGTGTCCCACCGCCTTTGGCAATATAGGTGTCCATTTATGAACCAGCAGTAATAGATCGCTGCTCAGTTCTCCGGCATTCTCGGAGAACACAGTTCTCCTGTGAATGCAGTATATGAAGCAGTTCTCCGAACGAAGGGAGAACGGTCCACACAAACTCTGGAAAACGGCTGATTTTACTATAATCTCGCGAGATTACAGTAAAAGATCAGTTTACTAAACAGAGGTAAATTATCTCTGCTTAGTTTGCGGTCCCTCTGATTCTCCAGCTCTGGGCTGGAGAATCTGGAGGGAGAACACAGATCTCCAGTGAAGGGCTGACATGATCTCCTGAGTGTCATAAACTGTGAATGACCAGAGAATAGCTGAGATCCGTTGAATCGCAGCTATTCTCTGTGTCATAAATGGACACCATAGTGTATATATGTATATAGATAGATAAAGCTAACTATTTGAAGGCTAAATCTACCTTTGAGGAGGGAGCAGGGGTGGGGCCAAACTGAACTGTGTGTATCTGTGGATGCACACAGCCCAGCTCAGAAGCAAGCTGGCAAAAGCACTGCCATAAGAAGCTGCTTCCTATGGGAAAGCACAGAGAAGAGGAGAAGCCCAGAGTGCCGACAAGGGGCCCCAGAAGAGGAGGTAAGGGACCGCTCTGTGCAATACCATTGAACAGAGTAAGTATGACATGTTTGTTCTTTAAAAAATATATAGCCTTTGAACCCGCCTTAAGATAAACTATATCTATGTTGTTTAACTGTATATATGAAGCCAAACATGCTAAAACAATAGATTTAGGGTTTACATGCATTTGAACTTGGATACAGTATGTGGTCCCCCCCCATAAATCTCAACTGTGAAATGGAATGTGAACACTGCTGGAAATGTTGGACTAATTCAGACTGATCATTAAGATGACTGACATGTGTAGTAATGTGTAGTAATATTATATCTTCAAATGTGAATAAATAAAACTCCCTATTTATCTCCTATAATCATATTTGAGCAGTGTGTTCACATTAGGCAAAGATAAGAACCTAAAAGACGAGAGGCCAACAAGGGGAGCAGACAGAACTGTAGAACATATGCAAGAAAGTCAGTTTTCACCAACCTTTTCCTCTGTAGCAGTGTATTTTTTTTCAAAATATGTCAATATTTTTAAGGATGGCCTAGTTTTACAAAATTAAAGATACAGTCAGGGGCGGACTGACAACTCATGGGGCACCCGGGCAATAGGGGATCATGGGGTCCCTGTGTCCTTGCCCAAACTCAAAAAGCCTATGAAAAAGGTACCAGGGGCATCTCATGTGGCCCCCTACTGACCCCGGGCCCTCGGGCAGTGCCTGTGTTTCCAAATGGTCTGTCCGCCCCTGGATACAGTAGACAATACTCATGTCAACATAGAGGTGATAGTGGGTTGACATCACTTCTTGGACACCCTTCCTTTCTTTCCCTCTTTTTTCATTTTTTATTGTTTTGTTTGGTTTACTTTTTGTCAATTGTGTTCATTGTGGAAAAGGATGGCCTTGTTAGCAAACATTCCGCCACTTTACAATTGTACAAATATGTGCCTACTAGGAGCTGTAGGACAGGTATATATGTTATTATTTCTAATGTCTAATGGATAAAATGTAAATCGGGTCATGGATGTTAAGTAATTTTATTTTTGTTATAGCACCATATTCCTCAATAATACTTTAAAACATATAAAAATAAGTGTTTTTAAGGATAGTAAAAACCTTTCTGGATTGTGTATATTAGGGTTCAAAGAGAGTGCATGACCTACCCCATGTATGTATACAGTATTCACACCTAATGTTTTGTTATTGAATTCAAGAGGATTCCCATGAATGAAATGTATCAGCTCACGAAAAAAGACATTACAAGTGTTTTTCTAGTGTCCCTGGTTGAAGGGGGATAATGGGTACCAGTAAATGCTCCCCACATCCACTTGCCCATTTATTGCAAACATTTCTAAATATTCTAAAGAATGTATAGAAAAAAACTGATATGCAGCACAAAAGAAGGGAATATGTGTAGCACAGAACCGGTGTTGATCTACAGTACAATAGAAGACAATGATGGTTAGTATGGAGTGCTTCTTGGCCTATTGAGGTTGCGAAGGCCTCCACAAGTGGCATTAAAATGTGTCTTCTATTCTATATATTGACTGTTTAGACACACTTTGTTAGCCTTTAATAGCACTTAGTGGCAGATGAGCCTTGGATTCATTATCAAATGGCCAACACACATTGCTAAATAAGATTTAAGAAAATATGGCAAATGCATCTAAATTACATAATAACCTAGGCACTAAAAAGCCCTTGCCCTTGAAAGTAAAATAAAAACCTGGAAAAAAAAAAACCATAGAAAAGAAAGTATGAGTATACCATTTACACATATCTGTCATGTGACTATATTTTAGAATTCTACCTGCCCTATAAAAACATAAACTGGTCAATGGGGTTGCTTTACTAAAGTCAAAGGCAAGATAATGTTATGCATTGCCATAGTGTCCCAAAATCACTTTTTTCTGAATACGAATTTGTTGTTTTGCTGAAAGTTTGTAGACCATTCTTCAAGAACTTGGGTTCACCTCCCAGTCCTAGACTGCAGTCCTCAACAAAGGATAGTTAGGATATTTTGCTGTGTACCCACACCCAGTCCTTTCCATTGTCTGCTGCTGTCAGTTTAAGATGATGGTAATGCCGATTCTGCTGCCTAACCAAAAAAAAACCCTTTGCCCTTATCAAAGCAGATGACGTTTATCGTTCAGTACTGGACACAGAAATCAATTCATAGACAATAGACCATAGTTATATGCCGCTACCTTCAGGTGATTGGATACTAGCAAAACCTTACCTGGGTCTGCTCCCTGGTGCCCCCCTATAACCTTCATCCACTCCATAAAGCTAGAGGTTTTTTTAAAAGTTTCCTTAGATGATGGATGGCTTCTCCTTTTAGGGATGTTTTTCTTTCATTCGATTTAACTGATACTCCTATCAAAATCTGACTGCTTACTATGTTCATGTCTCATTAGCAGTTTTCAGACTGGTAACCTCGGAACACACCTTGGGAACCATACCCTTCAAGTAAAAAAAGAGTGGTGTGTAAGTCAGTGGGAACATTTTATTTCTCTGTTAACCCATAACAGGGCTCTTTAAACTTTCTAAACAAAGGGCCAGTTTATTGTCCTTTGGACTTCAGGAGGGCCAGACTGTGGCCAGGGGGAGTAGAAAATGCCTCAGGCTCGGTGGTCAGTGAAATTAAAAAGAATTGCATAGGATCTGTGGTCAGTAGGAGGAGGAAGAGTGTCCCATCATTGGTATTAGTGGAAGGAATAGTGCTTCATAATTGGTATTAGTGAGAGGAATTGTGCCCCATCATTGGTATCAGTAGGAGAAATGGTGCTCCATTATTGGTAATAGTGGGAGGAATAGTGCCCTATCATTGGTATCAGTGGAATGAATAGTGCCCCATCATTGTTGTCAGTAGAATGAATAGTGCCCCATCATTGGTGTCACTGGGAGGAATAGTGCCCCATTATTGGTGTCAGTGGGAGACATACTGTCCCATCATTGGTATCAGTGGGAGAAATTGTGCCCCATCATTGGTATTAGTGGAAGGAACAGTGCTTCATAATTGGTATTAGTGAGAGGAATAGTACCCTATCATTGGTATCAGTAGGAGGAATGGTACTCTATTATTGGTATTACTGGGAGGAATAGTGCCCTATCGTTGTCAATGGAATGAATAGTGCTCCATCATTGTTGTCAGTGGAATGAATAGTGCCCCATCATTGTTGTCAGTGGAATTAATAGTGCCCCATTATTGGTGTCAGTGGGAGGTATAGTGCTCCATCATTGGTATTAGTGGAAGGAACAGTGCTTCATAATTGGTATTAGTGAGAGGAATAGTACCCCATCATTGGTATCAGTAGGAGGAATGGTGCCCCATCATTGGTATCAGTAGGAGGAATAGTGCCCCATCATTGGTATCAGTAGGAGGAATGGTGCTCCATTATTGGTATTACTGGGAGGAATAGTGCCCTATCGTTGTCAATGGAATGAATAGTGCTCCATCATTGTTGTCAGTGGAATGAATAGTGCCCCATCATTGGTGTCAGTGGGAGGAATAGTGCCCCATTATTGGTGTCAGTGGGAGGCATACTGTCCCATCATTGGTATTAGTGGGAGGAATAGTGCCCCATAATTGGTGTCAGTGGGAGGAATACGGTCCCATCATTGGTATGATAGAAGTGTATCAGCGAAATAACTGCTGAGAGGTAATGGTAGTCTAGTGATGGTGGTCCATGTAGCACTGATGACAAAGCATCAGAATAGGCTGTAGCAGACTCTGTAGATGAGAGAAGAAGAGAAGCGCCTCTAAGTGCAATATGGCTCTTTATTGAAGGTTATGTGTAGGAACACTCACATAAATAAATCGAATATAGGCATAAAAACCATGGTGGATGAGTAGGATAATCTTCAGGGTGAGAAGCCATCATCTACTGCAGTGTGTAGCGGTCAGCTTATCGCTGGGACAGCGTGGTGGCTGGAGGAGAGCAGCGGTGAGGCTGGTCAGCGTGCACGTCCTCCCTCTTAGCTTGGTGGAACGCACGTTGGTATT